TTTCATTATTGTTGTAAAATAGATAAATATTATATTTTCTTAAGTTGATTTAAGCGTAACAGGTTATTTCCATTTAAATGCAATCGGTTGCATTCCTAGCAGCAATTAATCTTGAATGACGTTAGTATTAGACACAACATCTTTTTGTAGCGTCTTGTCACAAAACACCGGTTGTTCTTTCAATGTGACCTTTGGTTTTACATGGGTATGCATATGTATACACTTATATATTAATCCATAACCGCTGAAAGCACTTGTATTCATGCGTTCGAAAATGACGACACTTATATGACAATAAATACGTCAATTGAGTCAATTCAGGCAACAAGATAATAACAAGAGGCCCATGGGCCTTAACGGTCACCTGAGTCCTACAGTAGTTTTGTTGTTGAAATATGTACCAACTTGAGTAAAAAAATGTTTAGTATAACGTTAACTTAAGTTTGTCAGGACCATGAGCTGATCATTTCTAGACCGATTTTCAGTTAGAGCGGCCTATTAGAACTCGTTTTTAAGTTTAAAATAGGTATTTTCAAAATAGCGGCCATGGCAGCCAAATTGTATTTCTGATCGATTCGAAAAATAACAACACTTTGTCAGGACCATGAGTCGATCATCCCTACAAAGTTTCAGTTCAATCGGCCTAGAAGAACTTGACTTAAAGTTTGAAATAGTTTTTCAAAATGGCGGCCGTGGTGGCCATATTGGATTTCTGATAGACCCGAAAAATAACAACACTTTGTCAGGACTATGAGTCGATCATTCCGACAAAGTTTCAGTTTAATCGGCCCATTAGAACTTGACTTTAAGTTTGATTTTTTTTCTTTCAAAATGGCGGCCATGGCGGCCATATTGGATTTCTGGTCGATCCAAAAAATAACATCACTTTGTCAGGACCATGAGTCGATCATTCCTTCCAAGTTTCAGTTCAATCGGCCGAGCAGAACTTGACTTTAAGTTCGAAATAGTTGGATTTCTGATCGACCCAAAAAATAACAACACTTTGTCAGGACCATGAGTCGATCATTCCTACAAAGTTTCAGTTCAATCGGCATTGTAGAACTTGGCTTTAAGTTTGAAATAGTTTTTCAATATGGCGGCCGTGGCGGCCATATTGGATTTCTGATTGACCCTAAAAATAATAACACTTTGTCAGGACCATGATCGAGTCGATCATTCCTACCAAGTTTCAGTTCAATCGGCCCAGCAGAACTTGACTTTAAGTTTGAAATAGTTGGATTTCTGATCGACCCGAAAAATAACAAAACTTGGTCAGGAAGATGTCAGTAACCTTCCCATGAAATATTAATGAAATCCCAGTATTTCAGCTTAAGTTGAAAATATAAAATGTTAACGGACGACGCACGACGGACGACGGACAAAGACGGATAGCAATAGGTTACTTGAGCTAAAACTCAGGTGACCTAAAAAGCGACATAGATAAAACAGTTGATGTAATCGGGAAGCCACACCTGGTACGATGGCCCATATCAGCCATGTCAAAATACACTTAAGCAGTTCAGTTTTTAGAGGTTTTTGACATTATGTTGCCTGCAACTACAAAAGTAGTTAGAATTTATCAAGTGTGTGACAATTTTGTTTTGTCAAATTATGCTTTGCTTTCAGTTGTTTTTTGACAGCGCAGTGTTGGCCCGTATAAGCCTTGACACTTTTTGAGCTTTGCACAAGTAATTAACATACCTCTTGTTAACACTAGGCTGCGTGATGGAACACAGGTGGTCTTTACACACAAACAGACCCTCCTCCTCCCTCCTTCCCTTTGTGGGAACCCTCATGTTTTTTTTACGCTAGATGGCGCAACAGATAGGATTGCCTTATTAATTGACATGTGGATCGATTTTTAAAAAAAGCAAATCTGAGTTAAAAAACAAATCGGATTTGAGTTTGAAAGTGAGTTTGAAAATGATAGACGTTTCCTTAATTTATCTTTATGATATAGTGTCAATTGCTATAATCATAAGACAGTCCTCTTTACTAAATGCACCAAAACTTTCATTCGTAAGTACGGACACGCTGGTGTACTGAAAGGCTTGCAAATCCCACTGTTTGAAAGAAAAAGTAGTACGCTGCTGTGAATTTTGTCATATGAATCGAATTACTCAGTTGTGAGGTGCGTAAAGCTGATGTCATTTTATAAAAATATACGAGAGAAGAACGACGTTTCTCAATACCGCTAAATCTTACAATAACAATCACAGTCAATGTGCAATTACCGTATAACATCTTCTATGTAGGGAAGCTGTTATTATAATGCTTTGTTGATATATTATACAAACAAAACCGTAGTATTACCTATATTAAAAGCAAAACTTTGCCGTTTATCCTTTTTTTCAAAATTTTCCTTGTCATGTTCGTATTTCTGGACATGATCCTAATCAATAAATGTCAATACATCAATATATTTTTCGACTTATAAGTTTGATTTATATGAAATTGACTAATCAATTGTTGAAACAAACAAGATATTGGTGTATTGACTTACCACGCTATAACCAGTGATGCATTTATTTCTGTATCTGACCCATGAAACCAGATCATACCGAAATTCGAGACGAGCAGACCTGACCTTGCATTATGGTATGCCATCCTTTTGTTTTTCAATTCGTTGATCGATTGGTAAAGATGTACAACCGTTAGGTGGCTAACACAGGGAAGTCAGAGTTAACATCAGTTTATGAACTATTACACTTGATAAGCGAAATATTCCAGATGTTTGTTACGCCATGCAGGGTTGCAATGCTGTCATGAGAACTAAGATAATAACCTTGACCTTTTTGGAATGTCTATTTCTCAACAGTAACGGGAGTTACATCATTTATAATCAGAACTACTACACCATTCTCTCAGGCAATTATAATAGCACTATAGTCAAACGGTTTCACTTATAGCTTGTCCAGATGGATTGAAATAATGTGGAAGTCACGTTGCTTCCTCATTGTAAAGTTTACGAAGATAATAACTCGGGTTATTGATGCTTTTTGCTATATAGCCCACAAAACATCGGATTGTACACGATGTATATGATTTTATTCGCTTATGTGTACTAACAATCGTCACTGATTCTGATGATGTAACCTTAAACATTTTTTCGAAATGAAAACAGATAAAATAATATTGTACAACATCATTTTTATTACATGACTATATCATAAATGCGATATATGAACATGCATTTTAGAGAAATGCATCCAAAAGTTCCACGTATGTTTGAAGAGCTCTTTGCCAGGTAAATGCGTCCTCCCGTCTATTTCGTTCAAGCCATGTATTTACAAATTTATCAAAGTCGGATGAACCACTTCTAGTGGATGATTTACAAAGCGATGCTCCCCATTCAATATCCTCTTAAGAAACATGACGAAGACAATCAACACAGCATTTAAAAACAAATATGTATACATTTATTAGAAACTGCGTAGCTCTTATGACGTTATGTTCTTGCAAGCATAACATACTACGAGAACTTTGGAGTACAGTAAGCATATGAATGTCCATGACATTAACGTTTAAAACTTGAAACGCCATTTTTAAGAAGTGTTCATATATCATATTTATATGTCAAGGATATACATGCTTTATTATTGCTGGGCACTTAGCAGGGAGCTAGACGATTGCCTAATTTTTAAAGTTTTAGGTTTTGACCCCACCTGGATTTGATCCCATGACCATGGATTCTAGCACCAGTCTTCCAGCACGAAGCGAGCGCCCTAACCGCTGCAGAGAGGTCTGACCCACACAATTTAAATCAATATACATATGATTTGTATATTGTAATCAGTAAAAAATAGTGTCGTAGATAACATTTTAGAAAGTACAAAACAGGTCAAAATGTTTAAAAATTTGAAATTATTTTTAATTTTAACTTCACTTAATCAATATAATACCCCAAACGAACCTCCATGCTAAATATCATCATCCTAGTACACATATTCAATGAATGACAATATTCTAAATAACTTGCAGTCAAATCTTTAACATTTTCACGCTGACGTTGACGCCGGGGGGGATCGCTATAGCTCTCTGTTCTTCGAACAGGCGAGTTAAAAAACAATTTGCAAAAGATCTTCTTATGTTTAACATATGTGGACTTAAATTTGTCCAGACTGTAACATCATTTAGTGTTCTATTATATAATATTTACATTATTATGTAAGCTAGCATTATGAAAACATAAGAGTTCTTAAAGAAATTGATAAGTGGACATAATAGTCATCAGATCGGCTTAAAATGACAGATTTCAGTGTACCAAAACCAAAACTAATTATTTCTTGATACAACCTTCATGTCACTGTATACAATTTTAATAGATCGTTAAAAAAATAAACTTAATTTTTAATGCTGGTCACAAGGCCTTACGGAAAATGTTGAAATACCTAAAAAAAACACGCTTATTTTCATAGATAAAATTGCTCCAAAATTCAACGATTGGCTACATCCGAATGAGACTCAAACCACATATAGAACATATATTATCAAGATATGGGAGAAGGGGAAACAACTAAAGGTCAAAGGGAAGGAGGGAAGGGGGAGGGTCTGTTTGTGTGTAAAGACCACCTGTGTTCCATCAGCAGCCTAGTGTAATCAAGAGGAATGTTAATTACTTGTGCAAAGCTCGAAAAGTGTCAAGGCTTATACGGGCCAACACTGCGTTGTCAAAAAACAACAGAAAGCAAAGCAGAATTTGACAAAACAAAATTGTCACACACTTGACAAAATCCAACTTCTTTTGTAGTTGCAGCCAACATAATGTCAAAAACCTCTGACAAAACTGAATTGCTTAAGTGAATTTTGACATGGCTGATATGGGCCATCGCAGTAAGCTTTAAACTCCACACCTTGATAGCGGGAAGAGATACAGGGCAGATATACCAGGCAAGTTGATAGAATGTTCCTGTACTACCACTTTGTGTGAGGACACATATAGGATAGATATACCAGGTCAGTTAATTATTTATTTCTGTAGTAATATCGTGACAGTAAGGACATTGGTAGGACTGATATGCCTGGTTAGTTGATATGTTACTCCTGTAGTAATATCTTGACAGTAAGGACACAGGTAGGACAGATATACCAGGTAAGTTAATAATTTACTCCCGTAGTAATACCTTGACAGTCAGGACATTGGAAGACAGATATACCAGGTAAGTTAATAATTTACTCCTTTAGTAATATCTTGACAGTAAGGAGATAGATATACACAGTAAGTTGATTATTTATCCTGTAGTTATACATTGCCACTTTGGACACAGGTAGGACAGATATACCAATGTACCAGGTAAGTTAAAAATGTACTCCTGTAGTAATACGTAGACAGTAAGAACACAGGTAGGACAGATATACCAGGTAAGTTGAGAATTTACCCTGTAGTTATACCTTTATAATTAAGACACAGGTAGGACAGATAAACAAGGTAGGTTAATAAGTTATCCCTGAATCAATACCTAGACAGTAAGGACACAGGTAGGAAAGATATACTAGGTAAGTTGATAATTTACTCTGTAGTTATACCTTTACAATTAAGACACAGGTTGGACAGATATACCAGGTAAGTTTATAATTTACCCTGTAGTTATACCTTTACAATTAAGACACAGGTAGGACAGATAAACAAGGTAAGTTAATAAGTTATCCCTGAAGCAATACCTAGACAGTAAGGACACAGGTAGGACAAATATACCTGGTTAGTTGATATGTTACTCCTGTAGCAATACCTAGACAGTAAGGACACAGGTAGGACAGATATACCAGGTAAGTTGATATGTTACTCCTGTAGCAATACATAGACAGTAAGGACGCAGGTAGGACAGATATACCTGGTAAGTTGATATGTTACTCCTGTAGCAATACATTGACAGTAAGGACATAGATAGGGCAGATATACCAGGTAAGTTAATAAGTTACTCCTGTAGCAATACATAGACAGTAAGGACGCAGGTAGGACAGATATACCAGGTAAGTTGATATGTTACTCCTGTAGCAATACCTAGACAGTAAGGACATAGATAGGGCAGATATACCAGGTAAGTTGATATGTTACTCCTGTAACAATACCTAGACAGTAAGGACGCAGGTAGGACAGATATACCAGGTAAGTTGATATGTTACTCCTGTAGTAATACATTGACAGTAAGGACATAGATAGGGCAGATATACCAGGTAAGTTAATAAGTTATCCCTGAAGCAATACCTAGACAGTAAGGACACAGGTAGGACAGATATACCAGGTAAGTTGATATGTTACTCCTGTAGTAATACATTGACAGTAAGGACATAGATAAGGCAGATAAACAAGATAAGTTAATAAGTTATCCCTGAAGCAATACCTAGACAGTAAGGACACAGGTAGGACAGATATACCAGGTAAGTTGATATGTTACTCCTGTAGCAATACCTAGACAGTAAGGACACAGGTAGGACAGATATAACAGGTTAGTTGATATGTTACTCCTGTAGTAATACCTTGACAGTAAGGACATAGATGGCCCGAAATGTGAGAAAGTCTATGAGCCCCTTCATCTCAAATCAGACCCTGCCGACTGCGGCGTAGCAAGATGGCTACCTATACACTGTGTCAGCCGCTTAAACAAGTTGCTCTATTTGTCCAGCATTTATCCTAGGTGTTATCCCAGTATAGAACATGAATTGTCGTATGGCACGATCTCTGATTGCCGATTATTTGATATGTTGGAATCTGACTGTTTTCTTTCTGATCGGGTGTTTTTCTTCCCCTATTGGTTTTGGCACTGTAATTGGCAGTCTTGTGTCTCTGGTTTTTGACATTTTCCGATTTTGATGGAACATGTGGAAAACGAAGCAGCAATAGCTACTCTCCCCATAGAATGCAAGCGTTACATATGGAAACAATATATTGCCGACATAATAGAGAAACTCTGGAAAGGGCCACAACTGGATCTGACCTTCCATATCATAACCATCGATTCTTCAAACAACCTCAGACATCGTGTAGGAAGTAGAAATTATCTATCAATATAATACTTGACACAGAACTGTTTTTTTTTTAAGATGTCGGAACCGTGAAACTTAATGCATTATTCTATTGGAAAACAGCGCAAACGAATAAATAACTCCAATCCATACCCCCATCCTTATTGTCACATAATAGCAGGACAAAATGCAAGAGCAAATTCACATCGCTGGGAGAATAAAAACAAGATCATATCAGAAATTGGCTCTCTTAATGGAACAAAAACAATTTCAAATAAGAAAAAGTACAACAAATTGCTAATGAAGTGGGTCAATGGTCAGGGGTCATCTACCAAATTCGTTAAATACTGATAGAATATTTCAGATGAATATCTATCTAAACACATTACGTGATCTTGTCTAAATGATATATATATATATATATATATATATATACAAATGAGAGACAGCAGACACTTTCATAACACACCTCAACGCGAAGGACGACGCTCGAGTCGGCAGTAACGCACATTAAAGGTATGTTACTCGATTGTTCATATCATGTTTCCACAATTTCGAAACTTACAAAAAGAAAATATGGATAATATCATGTAAAATATTTACACGGGCACTTGTTTTTGCCAAGGCGCAAGTATTGAAAAAGTATGATTATATTACACAAAGTACAAGTATGATTATATTACACAAATTACAAGAACGCGAATCACAATCACATAGTTACTATTAAATTTTGACACCTTTGTTAAAAGTATACCACCTAGTTGGTAGATAACATATCTATAATAAGATATAGCCATCTTCCAACGGTATACCAAAGAAATTAACAGAAAGTAGTAAACAAAATTAACAGTGGCCGAGGTATCCACGATCGTATTTAAAATAACCTAGCGTTTTGGGAGATTCATGTCATTTCAAGGCATTAAGGATACAGTTTATAACCTCTTTTCAATAAAATTGTCATATTAAACATTGTTGTGAATTTCTGCATGTAATTTACGTACAATTATCGTATTGATATTATAAAAAAAAAAAATTAATTTAAAACAAAATATACATGTATGAATGAATATATTTTTGCGTATGTTTTTTGCATGAATATATTTTTATGATTACATTATTCATTTACTTTCAACAATAAAACAAGGCAACTGCCGAGTTATACATACTGACTACCAAGTTTTATATACTGACTGCCGAGATATATACTGACTTCTGAGTTATACATACTGACTACCGAGTTATTCACACTAACAATTACGTTATACATCCGAAGTGCCAAGTTATATATACTGATGACCGAGTTATATACACTGACTACCGAGTTACACATATTAACCCCTGAGGTATGTATACTGACTACCTAGTTATTTATACTGACTACCGAGTTACACATATTAAACCCTGAGTTATGTATACTGACTACCTAGTTATTTATACTGACTACTGAGTTATACAAACTTACTACCATGTTTTATATACTGACTTCCTAGTTATACATTCTGACTGTCGTATTATACAAACTAGGTTATACATATTTACTCCCGGATTATACAAAAAATATTTTCCCACTCTTCCTACATAGTGAATAACTACGGTTATACGTTTAGGGAACACTATTTTACTTACAATATTTTGTTCGGTAGACATTTTTTGTTTTTGAGAAGTCGAGTTTATATCTTTAAGTTCAAGAAATATGTAATTAATGTGCGTGATATATGTGTTAAGGGTTAAGAGCCTCGAGATAATAGAAAAATGTGTGTATCTTGTACCACGAAGGATAACAGAAAAAATATAAAAAACAATCTTTACAAACACGTAGGAGAAAAGCTAACTTAAGGTAAACCATCCTCGATGTACTTCATTTATACAGCGGTTAACTCCATTCATCTAGGGATGTTCAGTTAAATTAAGTCCTGATGTCTTAATACAATGTTAAGGAGCAGTCCTTGCATACGGTAAAGACCGAAACTATCCAATCTGAGATCAGAGGGAATGAACTAACCAAGACCCGTTGGGTTGAGATCCGTATTTTCTCTCAAAAGAGTTTTAAGGCTTGTATTCTACTTGAATCAATGTATTATCTTTGTGCTAGTAACGTGTTAATGGATAGCTATTTCCCTCGTAATGACGTCAATAAAGCGTGTCAATCAAGTGTTAACGTATTGGATAGGTACGAGTAGAGTGAGCTTTTCGGGCAAAACTCAGGTTTTCCATATCAAACTACTAATATAGGGTACCTGTGTATTTATCAGTCTGTCAAGCTTTGTGAGCTATAAATCTCAGGAGATGATAAATTTGTTCAACGTGGTTTTGATTATTTTTTCTAGTTGTTGGTTAATGTACTTTGTCTTTACTATACAGAGCACTTATATTTCTTGCATCACAATAAAATGAAAAATGAAAAATTGAAACGGACGAAAGAGAAATATAAACATAAACCAAAACCCTTCATCAGACTTAACCGCAGCACTGGTGAAGTTAAATTACTTAGTTCCACAAAATTGATATGATATTTTCCAGGAAGTTTTTTCTGCATTGGTTATACCTCAAACTATGGGCCATTGTTTATAATGATCTGTTGGATCACTCCTAAACCAGCTGTAGATTTGTCCGTTCCGTCCATCAGCTATACCATACTTTTCATACACATTAATTGGATTTTACCTTAATCAAATACTCTTTACAAAAGTCTGTTGGAATTAGTTGACCTTAGAGATATATTATTCAGATTCAGCAACAATTGCCAGTTTGGATCATTTCTGGTTGAAATATAACTATTGATGGATAATATTTACCTGTAAAAATCTTAATCATATTTATGAATCTGTGCAAACTTTTAAAGCAAATTTTAGATTTTCTGAATAGTTGACAGCTACTGGTAAATCATAAAAAACTATCTCGATGTACTTTCTAGAATATAATATACCACTAGATAAATGGATGGTATCACCAGATGTGCTAATATGAATGCTAAACCTCAATGATTTCCTTTTGGGCTCCACTCCTCTGTCCTAAGGGGCAATACCGTCATTTAAACAATACTGATTCTGTTAAAGCAAGGATGCTCCGTTATAATGAAGTTCAAATCACTTAAGCCACGCTTAGGAGTAGTCTTTAAAACATAACATACATTTAGATTTTGAACCAAGGAAGACATAATCAAATTAAGTTCGGTGGCAATACCTTCCAACAGATTGCTGACAAATCTGCCTGTGGGGACAAATTGCGCATCTCTTTTAGATTGTTTTCTTATCGGAATAGGTAGCAAAAATCTTGCCATGTCCTTCCATGTCACTTTAAGATAAATCTACATAAACGTTTTTTAAATTATTAAAAACTGTCCATGTCGATCTTAATTAATTGCTTTCTCATGGACACAACAGACTCGAGTTGATACAATTATACCTATATACCAGCAATCGTCACTTCCACAGACAATAACCATTGGGTTACGTGTCCTTCCAGAATATTTCTGACTTCAAAATTATGTATATGATTGGTAAATACTTTACAGATTAATTATCTGTTTACGTTACAGATTTTACTTATTGGAAGATTACTTTTCGCCACCAACTAACAAAAAGAAAAAGCAACAATTTATGATACAAACATTATAACGCAATATGACGTAGTTAAGAAACTGGAGCAATTTTAGAAAGGTTTCAAAACATTACCTTTATACCGTCTTCAAAAGTAAATGTAAGCTTCACAATGATCTGATATGACACAAAAGAAAATGTAAATATGCATAACAAAACAAACAACGAATGATTTGGTATATTAGGTCATTTAAGGACGTGCCTCCACATGTGTGTAATGTATACGTTTGTTCTTGAAGTGGTAAGTTGGTGTAATTGCCTCCTTGCGAAAGGCGCGAATCCGATGCCGACTTTAAAGTTCTACAATGTACCTCACTGAAATGCCTTGCTGAAGGCACCCAGATTAGTACTCCATCTGGTCATATTATAAATGCTAAGTTTGTTTTGTACACAAACAGTAATTGAAAAGTTATTTTACGAGGTTTCGAAAACGTCTGTTTCTTTTGTAAAGCAAAGAGTCAAATGACTGGTGTTTCGACTTTAAACGCCGAAAACAAATTACTAAACCACAATGTCAGTAAAGTCACCTGTCAGAAAATATAGACACATTTCGTCCAAATAGCACTGAATACCACAATCAGTCAGATTGGTTAAATGTTTACCCCTTCTGCCTCTTAATGGATATTATAGTAGAGTCATAAAGATGACTCAGCTGGTGGCACCGTCGTCTCGATTCATCTTTTTCTTTTCCCTACTAATCAGACAACGCGTGAACGATACAGAGGATAGATATATAAAACGAAACTTGACATGTAATAGTCAAATATAATTGGAATATCTTATAAACCTGCTCTGTAAATAATTACACTTAAGTTACCCAGTATGAGCCATTGAAAAATAAGTTAAATGTTTTCTATAAAGGTTTGAACTTTATCTTATCAGAAATTGTCCGTGTGATTGCTAACTGGAGTCCCTTTAGATTATTTATCCCTAACAAAATATACAATACCCCACAAGGATTATTGCTTTGGTGGTATAGACAAATCTACTTTTACTTTATGGTTTGTAATCACGCCGAAAATCATAACCCATAATTTACTGCATGTTCCAGTCGTACTTCAGCGAGACAGTTTACTAAAGACAAATACTGTTAACGAAAGATACTCGTTCAGTTTATTACATCTTATTAAATAACTGCAAATCAATGTTTATTTCATTGTTACAGACCTCGATGACCCGAGGGAACTAATTTATGACTGGGGACAATATATAAGTTGTCGTTTACTGATCGTGCATATTTGTATGTTAAAAAACAGTTCGTGGGTTAACATCGCGAACAGTAGATTAACCCGTATTCAACAAACAACTCTATATAAAGTAGAAAAGAGCTAGATGCAGCAGCAATAGTGACATACATACCAGATAGCTTGCTAGATTTGTCTTCCTCAATTGGCATCGTATCACACTGTCTTTATTCCACAGTACTAGTGCTAACCTGGAAGGAGCCAGCATGTCTGATACACAAGGAAAGTGTCCTATGCCCGTGTATGATGGGTGTATGCTGCCAATGTTTCCTATCCTGTTACCAAATGCTGACAAACAGATGACTGCCATAAGGGACTTCCAGGCGAGAGAGAGCGATATCCTTATTTGTAATTTTGCGAAAACAGGTAGGAGACCTTACCCGATATTTGATAATGGTTAATGAGTAATAGTTTTATCTATAAATATATATCAAGCTATGCTTTTTTCAAATGTATTCTGACGTTTTTTCCTTATTTTGAGCTCCATATAAACACAGAGACAGTTTACAATGGAAAATAAGATCGGATATAATAATTATTTAATCCGTGTTGTTAATCATACACAATGAGTATTTTGTTCTGCTTTAAAAAACTGCATCGTGAAATACAAGGAAACAGGACCATATTTATTGTATGTGAAGTCCAATATATTCGCAAAATTTAAATAGTTAACCTCATCGTGTTGCCAGGGACCAACTGGGTATACGAGATTCTGTCTATGCTGGTACAAGGTCATTCAACGTACCTTAAGGATCTTAAAACGATTGGTATGCTAGAAATCATAGATCTGACGACCTTGACCGACATGACGTCACCACGTGTGCTCAACACTCACATCCCGTACCGCTTTTTACCAAAGCAGCACTTGGTCAAGGGATGCAAGATAGTGCACGTGCTCCGCAATCCTAAAGACACGCTTGTGTCCTGGTACAACCATACTAAACGCGACTCTCGTCTGAAACACGACAGGACAACAGAGGAAGAGGAGTTCCCGGGAACCTGGGACAACTTCCTCAGGGATCAGATAGAAAACATACATAGTATGTAAACTTGATATGAATAAATTGATGGTATAACATGCAATAAATTGAAAATGTCACGTTATAAAGAAAACTGATATTAAAATATTTGCACATTTGATAGTGAAATCTTTACTGCCTTTACACTTGATAATGAAATCTTTACTGCCTTTACACTTGATAATGAAATATTTACTGCCTTTACACTTGATAATGAAATATTTACTGCCTTTACACTTGGTAATGGGATATGTACTGCCTTTACACTTAATAATGGAATATTTACTGCCTTTACACTTGATAATGGAATATTTACTGCCTTTACACTTGGTAATGGAATACTTACTGCCTTTACACTTGATAATGAAATATTTACTGCCTTTACACTTATATTCTTTCTTAGTAATATTCGATCTATCCGGTGTATATAAGCTGTATCTTGGTACATCCTTATTCTATACGATGTAATACTATGCCTTGGTATGATTTCGTTCAATACTTTTTTTATTTGACAATCCCTATTTGGTAAATTTTAAATCTATAACCATGATATGTAAATAGCCACTAGAAACACTACTTAAGGAGACACCTCTGTTAAAATGGTAGCAAGTCGGTGAAGAAAGACAAACGAAGTACGTTATGGTCGTTTGGCCTATTTACTAAAAGAGGAAGGGTAGCAATAACCCTTTTTTTGCCTGTACCTGGCAATTAAGGTTTACCGTGACAACAATAGATTCTAGTTAATAGGTTATCCAAATGCATAAGTATGAGGCGACTAACGTGTAGGTACCTTGAGGCGACCTATGTAGGGGAAATATACGTTTTACATAAATATCGCCAGATATCTTTGTAAGTAATTGGACCGATTTGAGTGTCATTATATCGTGTGAAGGTTATGACATTTCAGTAACATGACACTTTAAAGTGCCCCTAAATAAATAAACAAATATATGTCCATCGTGTCCTGTACATTGTAGATACCTATGATGGTTTCTTCAAATTCGAGAAGGATTGGGAGGCTGCCAAACGTTCTAAAGCCGTCACCAACGTCCACACGATGTTCTACGAGGACCTTCAGAAGGTATCTATACCAATCCTGTTAGTCATTATTTTCTGATTTCCGGGAAAATTCTGAGATAATTAGCTATATAACTGGCTGATCAGTTAAAACGAAATTCAATTAGTTAGGATACCAACAGGAAACACAATTCATTAAAAAATCTAAGAAGACATTCAGTGGTTTTAAAGGAAACTTTCCAATGTTAAATCATAATGGAATACTATATGGTTTAGTTAAAAATACCATATAAACACCTGCCAATGTTTTTTTTGTACTATGGTATAACATATTAATAACTCATTTGATGGTTGTCAAAGCCTTCTTTTGGAAATAACATCAAACTGATTATAGTTTTGTAACACGTGATTTTAACTCATTTCTTCTACTCCCCAATTATTCTCCATACACTTACAGAGTTGTCTCCCTTTACAGCTTATCACAGCTATGTGGCTATGTATGAATTCGTTACGTTGATATACCGTTGTCTCTTCATAATGAATCTGAGGGTGAAGGGTACCACATCATATATATACTTTGGCGTTCGTTCTCTTTCTCGGCTAGTTTGTTGAAGGGTACCACATTATAGCTATACTTTGGCTCTCGTTCTCTTTCTCGACTAGTTTGTTGAAGGGTACCACATCATAGATATACTTTGGCGTTCGTTCTCTTTCTCGACTAGTTTGTTGAACCTAACACCGTATGTTGTGGTTGATCAAGTTGTCTTTTTGGTCTGTATTCGGTGTTTAAATAATTCGGTTCATAATGAAAAAGCAACCAAATGTTTACGTTGAACTTAAACAACACTTTAGACTTAATCAGAGTACTATCAATAATACTTTACATTAAAATGGTTATAACAACCTAGATATAATACTTTGGAAATGACAGGGAAAACAGAAAAAAACGATCATAGGTAAAACTTCTGTTATTCAGGAAACAGTTGCCGAGATAAAACGCCTTGCAGAATTTTTAGAAGTACCTGCTGACGAAGAACTGGTGAAGGATATCGCCGACAAGTGCTCATTCCAAAAGCTACAAAAAGCAGCCATAGCGATCAAATCAGGAAAAGTCCCGGTTACGGAAGGGGGGATAAAGTTTTTATTTAGAAAAGGTAAGTGAAATACAATATATACATTTCTCGATCAAGCAATTCTAGATCCGGATTAATCAGCTTAAAAAGTCTCAAGTTCTCCTAACATTAATTTAAAAAATCGTTTTTCGAGGTAAGGGTTTCACTTACGTCATATAGTAACAGGTAGCAATGTTTTTGTTCACAGGAATGGTGGGAGACTGGAAGAACTGGTTCACAGTGGCACAAAACGAACGGTTCGACGAACTTCTGGACAGAGAACTAAAGGGATCAGCTCTGAAATTTACTTATGAAATATGAAAAAAAGTACTGTACACCTAAACTATCAATTTCCATTAAAGGTGTTTAGTAACCATTCAGTGTAGATAGACGACACTGTGGTGAAAAAAACATCCCTAACAGAAAACAAGTACGATATAGTGTATTACCTATTACACAATACACTTGACATGTTTCACATATCTATAGAGAAAACAAAAAGTTGCAACACATATGGCAAGCCAACTTAACATTTAATATCCATAGAGAGATCGCAAAAATATACATATATGAGGGAAACCTTTGAAAGAAATAAAGATATCTGGTATAATTTGATAATTCAGATATCTTTTAATGAAATAAAATTGCTTTGAATGATTTTTCATTTCCAAATTATATGAGATATCTTTAATGTTGCAGAGTTATTTAAAATGGAACACATTTTAACTCAATTATAGATATATATTTAAAGGTGATTTAGAGGTCTTATTAAACATTAAATTTTATGTTTGTATAAAACAATCTTTTTCATGATACATGCTTTAATTCTAATGTTTTTCAGACTTCTTATAAATGAAATCTTTAAGTGCAATATATATATATATATATATTGTGCATGTTATCTGATGTATTAAATTCCTTAAGGCTTAACATATAAGTGCAATACATGTAACGCATATATTATTTAGAAAAAAATACAGCTTCAAATAAATTAAATGTATATTCAAATACATTAAATTTATCTAAAATGTAATTGAGATATCTCATAGAACTAGATTTATGCAAGATACCATGTTTATGTTAATAGGGTAATTCAGTTAGTTCTTGAAACACAGAAATCATCAGATAAAGTATATAAAAATTTTCTTTTGTTATTTCTATTTAATTAGATGTTTTACATAGAGACCGACGCTCGAAAAAGGATACAAAAACAAGTACGGCATTATACTAGTGATGTAGCTTACGATCCCCAGACCATAATACTTCAGAATGATTTACATATTATTAACTAAATATTATCTACCTTCAAATAGGTTTAATAGAGAATGTGATGAACTATTGTAACGTATCGTTTTATAAATTAAATATTATCTACGTTGAAGGACGTGTTATACAGGGTATGATTTACTGTGGTAACGTAACGTTTTATAAATTAAATACTCTCTACGTTGAAGTACGTGTTATAAAGGGTGTGATTTACTGTGGTAACGTAACGTTTTATAAATTAAATATTATCTACGTTGAAGGACGTGTTATAAAGGGTGTGATTTACTGTGGTAACGTAACGTTTTATAAATTAAATATTATCTACGTTGAAGGACATGTTATAAAGGGTGTGATTTACTGTGGTAACGTAACGTTTTATAAATTAAATATTATCTACAGTGAAGGACGTGTTATAAAGGGTGTGATTTACTGTGGTAACGTAACGTTTTATAAATTAAATATTATCTACGTTGAAGTACGTGTTATAAAGGGTGTGATTTACTGTGGTGACGTAACGTTTTATAAATTAAATATTATCTACGTTGAAGGACGTGTTATAAAGGGTATGATTTACTGTGGTGACGTAACGTTTTATAAATTAAATATTATCTACGTTGAAGTACGTGTTATAAAGGGTGTGATTTACTGTGGTGACGTAACGTTTTATAAATTAAATATTATCTACGTTGAAGGACGTGTTATAAAGGGTATGATTTACTGTGGTGACGTAACGTTTTATAAATTAAATATTATCTACGTTGAAGTACGTGTTATAAAGGGTGTGATTTACTGTGGTAACGTAACGTTTTATAAATTAAATATTATCTACGTTGAAGGACGTGTTATAAAGGGTATGATTTACTGTGGTGACGTAACGTTTTATAAATTAAATATTATCTACGTTGAAGTACGTGTTATAAAGGGTGTGATTTACTGTGGTAACGTAACGTTTTATAAATTAAATATTATCTACGTTGAAGGACGTGTTATAAAGGGTATGATTTACTGTGGTGACGTAACGTTTTATAAATTAAATATTATCTACGTTGAAGTACGTGTTATAAAGGGTATGATTTACTGTGGTGACGTAACGTTTTATAAATTAAATATTATCTACGTTGAAGGACGTGTTATAAAGGGTATGATTTACTGTGGTGACGTAACGTTTTATAAATTAAATATTATCTACGTTGAAGTACGTGTTATAAAGGGTATGATTTACTGTGGTGACGTAACGTTTTATAAATTAAATATTATCTACGTTGAAGGACGTGTTATAAAGGGTATGATTTACTGTGGTGACGTAACGTTTTATAAATTAAATATTATCTACGTTGAAGTACGTGTTATAAAGGGTATGATTTACTGTGGTGACGTAACGTTTTATAAATTAAATATTATCTACGTTGAAGGACGTGTTATAAAGGGTATGATTTACTGTGGTGACGTAACGTTTTATAAATGAAATATTATCTACGTTGAAGTACGTGTTATAAAGGGTATGATTTACTGTGGTGACGTAACGTTTTATAAATTAAATATTATCTACGTTGAAGGACGTGTTATAAAGGGTATGATTTACTGTGGTGACGTAACGTTTTATAAATTAAATATTATCTACGTTGAAGGACGTGTTATAAAGGGTATGATTTACTGTGGTAACGTAACGTTTTATAAATGAAATATTATCTACGTTGAAGTACGTGTTATAAAGGGTATGATTTACTGTGGTGACGTAACGTTTTATAAATTAAATATTATCTACGTTGAAGGACGTGTTATAAAGGGTATGATTTACTGTGGTAACGTAACGTTTTATAAATGAAATATTATCTACGTTGAAGTACGTGTTATAAAGGGTATGATTTACTGTGGTGACGTAACGTTTTATAAATTAAATATTATCTACGTTGAAGGACGTGTTATAAAGGGTATGATTTACTGTGGTGACGTAACGTTTTATAAATTAAATATTATCTACGTTGAAGTACGTGTTATAAAGGGTGTGATTTACTGTGGTAACGTAACGTTTTATAAATTAAATATTATCTACGTTGAAGGACGTGTTATAAAGGGTATGATTTACTGTGGTGACGTAACGTTTTATAAATGAAATATTATCTACGTTGAAGTACGTGTTATAAAGGGTATGATTTACTGTGGTGACGTAACGTTTTATAAATTAAATATTATCTACGTTGAAGGACGTGTTATAAAGGGTATGATTTACTGTGGTGACGTAACGTTTTATAAATTAAATATTATCTACGTTGAAGTACGTGTTATAAAGGGTATGATTTACTGTGGTGACGTAACGTTTTATAAATTAAATATTATCTACGTTGAAGGACGTGTTATAAAGGGTGTGATTTACTGTGGTGACGTAACGTTTTATAAATGAAATATTATCTACGTTGAAGTACGTGTTATAAAGGGTATGATTTACTGTGGTGACGTAACGTTTTATAAATTAAATATTATCTACGTTGAAGGACGTGTTATAAAGGGTGTGATTTACTGTGGTGACGTAACGTTTTATAAATGAAATATTATCTACGTTGAAGTACGTGTTATAAAGGGTATGATTTACTGTGGTGACGTAACGTTTTATAAATTAAATATTATCTACGTTGAAGGACGTGTTATAAAGGGTGTGATTTACTGTGGTGACGTAACGTTTTATAAATGAAATATTATCTACGTTGAAGTACGTGTTATAAAGGGTATGATTTACTGTGGTGACGTAACGTTTTATAAATTAAATATTATCTACGTTGAAGGACGTGTTATAAAGGGTGTGATTTACTGTGGTGACGTAACGTTTTATAAATGAAATATTATCTACGTTGAAGTACGTGTTATAAAGGGTATGATTTACTGTGGTGACGTAACGTTTTATAAATTAAATATTATCTACGTTGAAGGACGTGTTATAAAGGGTGTGATTTACTGTGGTGACGTAACGTTTTATAAATGAAATATTATCTACGTTGAAGTACGTGTTATAAAGGGTATGATTTACTGTGGTGACGTAACGTTTTATAAATTAAATATTATCTACGTTGAAGGACGTGTTATAAAGGGTGTGATTTACTGTGGTGACGTAACGTTTTATAAATGAAATATTATCTACGTTGAAGTACGTGTTATAAAGGGTATGATTTACTGTGGTGACGTAACGTTTTATAAATTAAATATTATCTACGTTGAAGGACGTGTTATAAAGGGTGTGATTTACTGTGGTGACGTAACGTTTTATAAATGAAATATTATCTACGTTGAAGTACGTGTTATAAAGGGTATGATTTACTGTGGTGACGTAACGTTTTATAAATTAAATATTATCTACGTTGAAGGACGTGTTATAAAGGGTGTGATTTACTGTGGTGACGTAACGTTTTATAAATGAAATATTATCTACGTTGAAGTACGTGTTATAAAGGGTATGATTTACTGTGGTGACGTAACGTTTTATAAATTAAATATTATCTACGTTGAAGGACGTGTTATAAAGGGTGTGATTTACTGTGGTGACGTAACGTTTTATAAATGAAATATTATCTACGTTGAAGTACGTGTTATAAAGGGTATGATTTACTGTGGTGACGTAACGTTTTATAAATTAAATATTATCTACGTTGAAGGACGTGTTATAAAGGGTATGATTTACTGTGGTGACGTAACGTTTTATAAATGAAATATTATCTACGTTGAAGTACGTGTTATAAAGGGTATGATTTACTGTGGTGACGTAACGTTTTATAAATTAAATATTATCTACGTTGAAGGACGTGTTATAAAGGGTGTGATTTACTGTGGTGACGTAACGTTTTATAAATTAAATATTATCTACGTTGAAGTACGTGTTATAAAGGGTATGATTTACTGTGGTGACGTAACGTTTTATAAATTAAATATTATCTACGTTGAAGGACGTGTTATAAAGGGTATGATTTACTGTGGTGACGTAACGTTTTATAAATTAAATATTATCTACGTTGAAGTACGTGTTATAAAGGGTATGATTTACTGTGGTGACGTAACGTTTTATAAATTAAATATTATCTACGTTGAAGTACGTGTTATAAAGGGTATGATTTACTGTGGTGACGTAACGTTTTATAAATTAAATATTATCTACGTTGAAGGACGTGTTATAAAGGGT